ACTATCCACCCCCGAATTTACCGGAAGACCAAATCAGACTGAGCATATTCAGCCAGTTTGCGAATGTTAAACGAGATTACTTTGATACGAGTTTCAAATTTTATTGGGAATGAATACCCAAAGAAATTACAAAAATAAAGAAAAATTAATAGTTTGGTTCAATTAATATTGACCGTGTTATCGGTTACGTTGCTTGAACTTATACCGAAAGACGAAATGAAAAATTATCGGTTCAAAAATCTTGACCGTCGATGTGTGGTGTTACTTGATTAAAAAAATTCAATTAACTTGCTTTTCAGAATTGGCGAACTGAACTGAACGAGAATGGTTATGACTGCTGATCAATGGTGTTCGCATCGCAGATCGATCACCATTCACCCCCGCGGAATTAAATAATCAAAATATCCACAAAAATTTTGATTGAAAACGAGCTCCAATAAAAATCAATTAAATCATGCCGTGTGAAGACTGAGGACGATATTGATTTACAGTGATTATGAATTCAAACGATAATTATTTGAATCAATCTCAATGATGATTTATATAGCAGAATTTCTAAAAGAAAAAATTAATCAAAAATCGATTAAACTCGAATATGTATGGTTCACCGACGTACAATTTTGTGACCAACAAAATGAGAAAAACGACTAGAAGATTTTAATTTTTCCTTAAATCCAATTTTATGATGTATTAAATTGATTCGATGATGAAATTGCTATTTTCCCTCAGCTGAGCACGCGGTTATTTTATGCCGGGCTTAAGTGTGATTATGTTCAACGAAAACTAATTCTTTTTCACACGTTTAGTTGGGCGCCAATGGTTTATTTGACCTTGGTTTGTCGGTCCAAACAGGAATCTTTTTTTACGGTTGATGGATAGCTCGTTTCCAATGGATGGTGGCAAGAAAGTGGCTGACTTACGTGTAATGATTTTGTATTACCGGCTTATGGTGACTCAATTGCTGTCAAATGAATAGTCCAGATTTGATGCTCACAACTTCTTTATTCTACGCAACAACATGGCTGGGGATTTGCCGGAAGGAATGTGACGGCACCTTTTGCCTCTATTAATTTCCACTGAGGGGTGAGTATCGACTCCCCGAATGTCGCCAGCTTTTAATACAAGCTTTTAATCCACTTTAATTACTTGGTTGTAATTCCGTTCTTGTGAGGGCTGATGAGTGTGGTTCGCAGTGATANTTTTGTGACCAACAAAATGAGAAAAACGACTACAAGATTTTAATTTTTCCTTAAATCTAATTTTATGATGTATTAAATTGATTCGATGATGAAATTGCTATTTTCCCTCAGCTGAGCACGCGGTTATTTTATGCCGGGCTTAAGTGTGGTTATGTTCAACAAAAACTTATTCTTTTTCACCCGTTTAGTTGGGCGCCAATGATTTGCTTGACCTTGGTTTGTCGGTCCAAACAGGAATCTTTATTTACGGTTGATGGATAGCTCGTTTCCAATGGATGGTGGCAAGAAAGTGTCTGACTTACGTGTAATGATTTTGTATTACCGGCTTATGGTGACTCAATTGCTGTCAAAATAATAGTCCAGACTTGATGCTCACAACTTCTTTATTCTAAGCAACAACATGGCTGGGGATTTGCCGGAAGGAATGTGGCGGAACCTTTTTCCTCTATTAATTTCCCCGAATGTCGCCAGCTTCTAATCCACTTTAATTACTTGGTTGTAAT